TTCCTGAACATTTGCGAAATAATTTTTGAGGTTTCTCATCCTTGATATTCCTTCATAGTACATACATATTAAAGATATAAGTGATGTCTCCTGATTGCAATCCTTGCGCAAAATAATATTTGAAATGGCATAACACTTTGGACCACATTTTGATGCAGTCCCAAATACACATATCTCTGTATTGTGCTTTTCGATGTCAATGATTCTGTCCAAGATTTAGTCAATTTGTTTTATTTCTGATTGCCCCTACACTTTACTATAGATACACAATTATTCTGTTATATTACTTGATCAACCTTCCCTTTAGCTATTTTTTTAATATTTTGTTTTTTATTTTTGAACAATGAACCATCATGACAAGTACCATATATTGAACTTTATCTTTAACAATGCTTAGTATTACTATTCAAACCTCAGTCAAGAAGGAATGGGAAATATGCGAGTCGCCATGCCAACTCATAAAGATCAAACAGAAAGAAATTGACCTAATGAATCGAGCGAGAATTGCTGAGCAAATAGAACAAGAAGGGGCCCGATTATGCCAAGATAAACGGCTTTCGATATTGATACGACACACAGCACTGTTTGGGATTGGTCCCTCTATAGAAATCTCTAATACAGGACAAACAATATTCAGGCATACATGCAATTCCTTAATCTATTCTGTTGGATTCAAAGGCAAGGAAAGAGGCTAACTAAAGGGGCAGGGAAGAGAGTGTTTCCCTCAGGGCTTAGTATACATTGAGGAGAGGGCGGGGGAGGAGTTACATGTACATGGTTCTGGACCCCCTTTATATTTCTTGTAGTATGTCCTCCTCTATAGGACGGTTTGGACCCCACACCTCCTTTTTTACTAGTGCTGTAACATCACGGATATCTCCAATTCCGTTTAACCGCCTGTCAAAACCGGACGGTTTTCGGTTAAACGATTTATTTAAAAAATTTAAAAAAAATTTAAAAAAAAAAAAATGTTTTTTTTTTTTTTTTTTTTTTTTTTTTCGCCGTGTGAAAAAGCAGGAAGGTGATTTAACTGAAGGCGCCGATTTGGGCTTGTGAACTAGTCACAAATAATAGTAACAATGTCGTTTTAGAATAATGTGTAAGATCATTAAAGTAAATTAAAAACAGTAGAGGACCTAGGATAAAACCTTGTGGTACACCATGTGTTAAACTTGGATGAATATATATTGAGATCTATTACAAAGATTACTTTCAAACCAAGATGACAGACAAATTGGAGTGTTGTTCTAGTTTCCAAGTGGTAAGTCATCACACCGATTACTGAGCTGGGAGACATTGCCAGGTGGAGGGGCATAAATTGAAACTTTAAAAAAAAAAATTATAAAAAAAAATTAAAAAAAAAAAAAAATTATAAAAAAAAAAAAAAAAAAAAAAAAAAAAACGGGAAAACGAAACCGTCCAATTGAAAACGGAATCCGCCATGGGCGGTCGGATACCGGACGGTTAAACGTTTGACTACAGCACTATTTTTTACTATTCACTTCTTTTTCCTTTTACTTGTCAAATATTTTGATGGATTTAACCCCCCCCCCCCCTTTTAAGGGGTTGCGTCCCCCTTTTTTCTTTCATGCTTGGAGATTAGGGGATGTGAATTAAACATGCAAACATCTAAATGACACTTTAATCTTTGCTTTTCAGAATTTAGGGGTAATTTTACCTCTTCCTTGTACAACCCCCCCCCCCCCCCCTCAATCTTCACATTTTCTGTAATACTTTTACTGGGATACGGAACCGGACCCCCCTCCTTTGTACAAAGCCCTGGAGCCACCTCTATCTATTCACGTTTCTTTGTATATAGAGACATGCCACCTGACCGTGTACAAAGAACTTCATGAATTGTTATGAAATACCTTGATACGGTACAGTTATTATCCAATATAATATACATTTTATACTACGGTTTACACATGATGAAGCAGTGCTTTGGAATGGCACTGTATTGTAAAGGCTGTATTGTGTAGAGATGCATGTGACCTATTAGCCTGCCAAGATACAAGTTTGTCACCCGGGTCCATTCATACTACAATTGTACACCACGCTAAAACGTAATTACACCTGAATGTAATAAAAATTTGACAACAATGGTTTTTGTTTCCCAACAAGTTTCTTACATAGGTAAAAAAAGAAGTTTGTATTAATAACTATAATATACTGTACAATGTTTTACTTTTTTGTTTTGTTATTCCTAACACTATACCTCTCTGACATGTTAATGATGTTAAATACAAATAAACAAAAATAGCGTTAAAAGCTTTGAATACTGTTGGATATTGGCAAACTTAATACAAGTGGAAAGGTTAGTACCATAATCCAAGAAAGAATTATACAATTTTTAATCAGTTTGAAAAAAATTGCAATCACAAATATGATTAACCCTTTCTCTGGTTTGGTTGATAAATGGAACAAACTGTGGGCTGCTGCAGTCAAGTGTTGTCACACTCACAATATGTAATATACTTCTGAACAGTTTGGCAGTACAGGAATTCTGATTGTTTTTTGAGCAACTGTAAGAAACTGAGGGAACACAATTCGGAAAGGTAAATTGAAGATTTTGACCACCTTCTAAAGATAGATAGATGTGCATGTATATTGTGCACATCACATCAAAGGCAGAAGTTTTAATTTACATGTAGCCTCCAAAAGCTTTAAAGGTAAAGACCAGTTATGGTCATGCGATTGCATTGTGAAAGAAACGTTGTGGAATCGATCAGAAAAGGTTGATCATCTAGCATCTAGCATCTGCAAGGTTCTGGAATCATCAAAATGATAAGAAATCTGGCCCACTCTTCGTAAAGTTACAAGCACTATACACAGAAAGATGTATATGGGACTACCCTATATCTCTCACAGACCATGAGAGAAACAAATTTACCAAATATATGAATTAGTAGGCGGTTTCCCGGCAAATTTTGTATCATCATGTATTAGTCAAAACATATTCTTTCACGTGATTGGTAATGAGAGCTTCCATTTCATTTTTTGAAATTGGGGCGTTTCCAATACTGGCCTTTACCTTTAACATCTAAATACAAAAAAAACTGGAAAAGTATAAACAAAAATGAAGATGAGCATAACACAGGGAAGAGATAACATCAACTGTGTCCTTACTTTATGTTTTGTGTGAACGCACTGGCAAAGTTTGCGTTCTTTTGAAACGTTCTATTGAGACGTCATAGTCCAAGGTTCAATGCTCTTCTTTAGATGTGGGTCGGCGGACGGTGTGGTATGGACAGACCTATTAGCATTACATTGGAAGGTGTGTGCTTGTACTGATTGCCTCACTCTGTGTTGGCCTCTACGTAACATGCCACTGAGCACTGCAAAATCCCACGAAGTGATGCACTGACGTGAGAATTGTGTTTTGGAATAGTTCAGGAGTTTTGGTTGAGTTGACGACACTACTGGTACGGGCGTGAAGATTACTGTATAGTGTTGGATAATCATTAATTGAAGTGGTTATTTAAAACTGTAAAACATACTGTTTGGACTCTGGATATATGTATAGGAGTTTGCTGACTGCTATCCTTAACATTTCTTTGCAACTTTGGAAGTTATAACATAGTAACTGTGTTTTGGACTAGTTCAGAAGTCTTGGTCGAGTTGGTGACACTAATGGTAAGGGCTTTTGGACTACTGCCTAATGTTGGATAATCATTAACTGAAGTGGTTCTGTGGACTTTAAATCCTTCCATTTAGACTCTGGAATTTGTGGTTTGCTGACTGTTATCCTTAAACCTTCTTTTCAACTTCGGTAGTTAGACACAGTAATTGCTTTTTTGAATAGTTTAGGATTTTTGCTGCTTTGATTCTCGGTATAGGCTCGTTGACTACTGTTTAATGTTCCATATCCATAATCTGTAGCAGTAAACTTGTGATTAGAAAACCCTCTTTACTTTTTTTCTTTACCATCTTTATTCTGTGGGTTTGTACATTCATTTTTGTTATCCTGAAATGTGTTGTTTAACTTTGGAAGTTTATACACTGTGTTGCAAAATTTTCAAAACTTCAGAAGTTACTTTTTTCAAACTAGAATACATTTATTCGCTCCCTGATCACAGATTGATATCATGTACAAATCATTAACTGCAGCAAAAATTGGTGATTCTGATTTTTTTGGTGTTGGATATTTTTTTATACATGTAGTTCCAGACTATTCTTATCCTTAAACCTGTCATTAAACTAGGGAAGTGATATCATTTTGTTGCAAAACATCCAGAAACTATTGGTTACCGGTAGTATATTTTATCACATTCACGTGCTCGTAAATTACAGTTAATAAAGTTGTTTAGTTTCTATTAGTTTGCATGGACATCTGGTGTTTATCATTTCTCAAGTACAGTAACTTAAAATATTTAACCCAGTTTTTATTGCTTCTAAAATTTATGGATATTTTTATGATCTGTTTTTACTGATCTCCATGTTTGAATTTCACATATTAATAATGGATAAAAGCTATTGCACCCATATTTGAGCGGTCCATCCAATTTAATATTGACAAAGTCCCCTATTTATTAGGGCCCATATGTACATGTAAGTATCCTGACTCCCAGGCTGATAGTGATAATAAATATGATCCAAGTCTCTGTGTACACATATCTAAAACATGTATGTTTTCCTTTTGTAACATTTTGTTGTTTATTCATGAGGCTTATTTTTAAATAATATTCTTTTTAGTGTACATACGATTGTGTTCCCTTGATATCAATTTATATGTATTAACACTATCTTTATGAATTGTATCTCACTCAAAAAGGGAGTTAAAGTTTAGACTTTGAAGCCTCAAGTGTTATGATCCCTGACTGATACATTAATCAGTTTTTATCTGTGTTTCGCTTGCAAAATAAAGTTTACTTTGCAGTTCAGGAGTAAATATTGTTTGTTCTTCGGATCATTAATCACAGGGAAACTATGCTAAGTATTTTATTACACAGTCGATTGACTAACTCCCTCTTGATTTTATATTTATGTCTTTTCTACAGGTGTTGTTAACTTGGCAGATTGAGAGAATAAGAGGCTGATTAAGCGACAAGAGACGGCACAATGCCGATTCCTACCGGGAGACAGAACCCATATGCACTGGAGCCAGCATACGGGCATCATGGTGCACATCATCCACAGTAAGAATAATACTAATAATAACTTTTTTATTATAACTTCAATTTATTTAGCGCACAATAATTAACACTTCATTCTCTATGCGCTGTACATTAAAAGAGCAAGCTTGACAATCTACATCAACATGTATAAGAGGACCATTACCACCACTACATGCACACCAACACATCAAATCAAGAATTGTTGCTCTAATGTAAAAAAAAAAGGTGTGTCTTTAATGCTGTATTCATGATCGTCATGTGCAGAGAATTCCACAGAGCTGGAGCCAAAACCACAAAGCATCAGTCTCCATAGAATATGAAATCTTTTTGAGAACGTGCTAGAAATAGATTAGTGCATTAAATTGAATCAAATTTTGGCGGGCATTGAATATGTTGTAAAGAATCAAATCAATGTAGGGATCCTCAAATAAATCCCAAAGTTGAAACTAAAAAAGTACTAGTTTAGGTTTCGGTTTCTGTCTTTGGATTTTTTAAAAAGATCAGTTATTAGTTATTGATTATTTCTATAGTATCAAAACAATATTGTTGTAGCCCTACTTTTTTATCAACAGCGATAACAATAATAATGGATTTGTGTGGTTAGTTATCTTTTACTCAAATGCAGTAAATGACTATAATACAATGTTATAACACTGATAATAATGGTCTAGATTTATATGGCGCTTAATACGATATACTATCTCTAAAAGCTTCACATATATTATTACCCCCATCATCAGAATCATTCATGTACAGCGTGCACCATCTCCATTCCCTGTAGAGTATTCCTACTATATGGACACCCTGAGAATATTATGCAATTACTATTAAACACAAAGGCTACCAGGTCTTCATATCTCTTCAGGGTATGGAGTGGCAAATGTAGATTAATGCCTTCCACAAGGACACTGGTGCCGTGTCGAGAATCAAATGCACAACCTTTGCTTTCCAACTAACTACGACGCTTCAGATAATGCACTTTTGCTCATTTTTGTTTCATTAAATGATTCTGTTCTACTTATCACCAATGAATGAATCAATACAGTGTGTGATCAGTCATTCCTAATGTATCTTGTCTTGTAACAGAGCAATGAACGGTCACGGAGACAGAGGTCAGATACCCAATGGCTACCCTACTGGTCCTGGGCGCCAGAATGGCATTTCACAAGAAGGACCTTCCAGAGGATCAAATAATAACAATCACAAAAGTCATTACGGTAAGTTTTTCAAATTGATTCTTTTCTTTCAACCGCATCGTCATCATCATTTAACATCTGTATTTCAACATGCTTTGGGTTCGGACGATAGACCAGTTTGCTATCATATTCAAAATGTATGCATACTTTTTAAGGAAAGGTTGGTCTTGACAACCTGAAAACATGCCAGAGGCTTGACAAAAATAGCAACAAGAAATGTATGCAGAACACATTATAATTCATAGGTCATTGATTCAAAGTGACTGTTTAATCAAGGGTAAGTACCCTTTCAAATTCAATGCATTTACTTATCATGTCAATTTGAATTTTCAACTTATTGATTAAGTGGATGAGAGTGTTAGAGGGTTTTGGTTTATTGTCTGATTTCTGGTTTGTTGTTGCTTCATATTACACATAATGCATCAGGTTTCAGTGTGTTTAGGTCAATTTTCTTCCTAAATTTGTAAGACCAGCTCTTACCCCTTCTTTTTACATGTATATTGATTTTGCAAACCTTAAATTTTTCCACAGGGGTGTACGGAGACCCCAGGCATACAGCAGAGATGAGCAGAGACCCAAGGCACACAGCAGAGCAGATGGGCAGAGACCCAAGGAGGCCTGCCTCGTACCCCAACGGTCACCCTCCACCAGAGCATGATCCCTCCAGGAGGCCCGTGTCCTACCAGCAGCAGCCACACCCTGAACCCCAGCCCCACCCTCATGGGCACCACCACCACCAGCCACACCCCCAGCAGCAGCCACACCCCCAGCAACAGGCCCACCCACACCCACAGCAGCAGGCCCATCAACCCTCCCATCATCAGCCACAGCCGCAGCAGAGAGCCAACCGGTTCCCTGTCGAGGTGAGACAGGATTGATTCCTAGATTTTAGGATGGATTTGCCCCACACCCACACCTACTGAGAGATCCCGGAGTGCTCAGTGTTATTTCCTTCACAAAAATATTTATCACGGATAAATATATTATTTTTATTTGTTGTTGTAGCCCGTGAATAGCCCCCCTAAATCTCACTCGCATTAACACCCACACCCACACCCACACAGAGCCTGGAATGGTATAGTGGAGTTTCCATGGAAATATAATTACCTGGGGAAATAGATGTTTTTGTTTTGGTAGGTTCCTAGCTCCTGCCTCTCCTCACACACCACACCCACAGCCACACTATCTCTCACACACTATTAAAGAGAGTCTGAAGTAGTCTAGTAAAATTCCTGCTGTATGATAGTTACCAGGGGAAAACACAAAGTATTGATTTTGTTCCTAGCTCCTCCCTTGTACCCTCTCACACACGCTTAGAGAGCCCGGAGCAATATATTTCCTACAATAAAGTTATATTTTATTTTAGTTCAGAGCCTCAAAAGTTGTACAACACAGGAAATGTATTATGTTGGTTGTAAGGCTTTAAACAAAAATCCATACCAGTCAATTTAACTCAGGAATTTATTGAGCTTCAGTATATATCTACATATAGATACCAAAGCGAGACAAGAAATTTAACTTCTTCCAGTGAGTTTATGGCTACAGTTCACCTTATCTGCTACTAGGTTCTGGACCAAAATATTCCTTCTCTTATTCTCCAGTCCAGGATCTCTGTACATTTCCAGTTAATAAAAAGGAATCTTGGATCTCTACTGGCTCTAGATATTGCTAAAATGTCAATTGTGTAATGTAGCGTCTATATTTATTCAAGAGAGATAAACGAATCCTGAGACTTGATTAAGTAATAATCAAACTGTCATTGTTTTTTCATTCGTCACAGCATCTCTGCTGAAATGTCTGTTTTGTAATGTAGTGTCTATACCTATTCACAAGAGATAAAAGTATTTCTGAGACTTGATTGAGTAATAATAGAAAAAAACATTGTTTTTTTCATTCTTCACAGCATCTCTACACATTCGCCATGGATAAGAAAGAGGGCGTGGTTTCTGTAGAAGACGGTATCCGCAAGCTGAGATTACTGGATGCGAAGGGCAAGATCTGGTCCCAAGATGTCAGACTGATGGTCACCGATAAAGAAGTGGTACTCATGGATGAATATACTCAGGTAAGTTGAACTCCTTGGGTGGTGTTTCACAAAGATCCCAGGTTAAACGTAAATCGAAGTTGGACTTAATAATTATGGAGAGCCATTTGTAGCCTCAAAATGAAATATATTCAAAAGCAAAAATTGAAGTATTTTACACTTTTCATAAATTCCACACCAAGAATATTTCAAATCTATTTGATAATAACAAATATGAATGATTTGAATCAACATTTTATGCCTTTTGAAATAATTTTTACAAAATGTTTTCAAAGATGCTAACGGCTTTCCATGATTGTTCAGTCCAACTTAGAGATAAGTTTAACTTTGTGAAACACCCCCCCCCCCCCTCGTTTGTGTTTTTAATTAAATGGAGATGGTAGTCAGTTTCCATGTGCAGCAGGTCATAATTCACTGGCACAAGACTTGGTGAATATACCATGATTGGGTTTACAAGTATCGCACAGCAAACCTGTGGGCCGTGGTCCCATCAAGAAATACCCCCTATTCTCTCAGAGAGTCTGTGGATAAGGGAAGTGTATGATAATGATTTTAAAATCAGGGGGGGGGGGAGGGTGGAAATGCAAAGCATTGCATAATGCCTGTTGGTAATTAAACTGAACGCTAATTCTGGTGTTAGATAACACCTGATATGTGGTAAACACCCGAATGGTGTCAAATTACCCATGAGAGCCCACTATTATCCGTCTTTAATATTTTGGGGTTGTAGTTCTTCTTTCATATTCATCAAAAGCTTCTTTTACTCATAATTTTTGTTGCCATTGTTATTTTTCTTGTTTATAATAATAATTATAATTGCTTATATAGCGCCTAAAACTTACTTATCAGAAGTCTCCAAGCGCTCTACAATAATGCAGCATAATTACCCTGGCTTTAGCAGTGCAGCTGTTACGCACGCTGCGTTTCAAGGAATAAATTTCTACCTAATCTGGTTTTAAATTGAACTTTGAAACAAAATGAGATAACTGAACCAGAACACTAAGGAACGAAAAAAGGTTTAGCGAGGATCTCATACATCTTTACATTTTTTTGGTAAAGCCTCTTACACCTTGATGTTATTCCCTTCTTGCTTGTATATGCTTTCTCTCATGAGCACAATGATATACATGTAATTCAATGTCATGTATTTCCTTCTTGCAGGAAACATTAGAGGTGTTCCCATTGCAGGACATTGGAGCAATCTCGGCCGAGCTGAAGCAGTGCAACTACGACAGTCTACTGGTCATCAATGTGAGATATAGCAACAAGCGAATCCCAGAGATGATGATGTTCCAGTGCGAACAGATCCCGGTAAGTACATGTGGAATACAGGAACCCAGATAACCCCAGTTCAGACCAGAAGCAAAAATACATATTGAAACTATAGCTACACGCCATAATACAACAGTTAAAAATGTGAGGTATAGCAGCGAAAGGACCCCATAGATAGGTAATGATGTTTCAGTGTGAATAGATCACTGTAAAAACATGAGTAGTAAAGGATCTTGCATGCCTCTTGTTCAGACAGTGATATCTTGTTGTTTTTTATGATGGAGGCGGAGCTATTATACATTCTACAGAGTATTTTTCATTTCTGTTAGGGCTGGAGGCAAACATTACAAGCCCCTGTTAAAAGTTGGCCTCCAAAGTCTCACTCAAAATTCCCAAATCTCATCATTTAAGAAGGGCAAATGAATACACCCCCCCCCCCCCCCCAGGTATGACCCCCTTCTATAACTTATTGAGGACTGTGGTTTATAGTAGGCAATATATAAGACATCAACTCAAGTAAGTTTGTTTTTTTGTCACATGACTGTATTCGCTAAGGGTTGCAGAGCATTAACAAGTGGTGCATGCACACAACTTATCCCAACACTGAAAAAGCTGTTTATTTATGGGTTTGTCCAGTAATGTAAATAGTAGTTTAACAAAAACATGATTTTGAAATTATTTTTTTTTCTGTAGTGTAAATGAACCTATAACATTTATCTCTTCAGCATATACATGTAGGTCTACATTTATCATGATAAAATGGAAGAGATAAGAGTTCTCAATTTACAAAAACCCTATTGTGTTGGTAGATAATGTAGCCTCTAAAGCTTATCACACCGATCAATGAGAACAGGGGTCGTTTTTTATTGAGACATGTATAAATGTCCTCGGTAAAGCTTACCTGCAATCATGAGGTTTCAAAATAAATGAGACTTCCATAAGCTTTATTATGTCGTGAATGCCAGACATTTTCCAACAAATATTTAAAAGGTTGCAGTAAATTGCTATCTATACCACTTCAGCAATTGCTCTTTTCCCCGCTCTGCACAGTAGCCCATTTTCCGGACATGCATTTCTGCACAAAATAATAGGCACTTGTTGATTGGAGGATTGCTTTATGTAACGCAACAGATTTGAACGAAAAATCTCTATTCATGGTCTGTATAGATAATTCTTACACTGCAAACAGATACAAAGAAGCTTTAAGTCTTTGCATATCAATCTCATGATGAATACATTGTGGCACATGGAGGTTATTTGTGTGGCATGTAAAGAGTTAAAGAGAATGTTCAGTGCTCCTAATTTGTGAAATACACTTTGTAGAATAATACTGAAATGGTGATTATGCAGTAAAAAAAACAGCAATAGTGTTTTGGCAGTTTCCTGGAATCGTCAACACGACTTTCAAAATGACTCACTCTGGTGGAAAATGTTAAGCTAAGTAAAATACTTGATACAGGGACAATTGGTACATGGTACTTTGCAAACAAGGAGCAATTAAATCTGAAAGTACTTATAGCAATTCTTGAAAAATCCAGACAGTTCATGGGCCATGACAAGAATAACACTGCTCACACATTTTTTTTTGTAATACCAGAATTTCAACATTGTATTACAGATACTGTGCATTGTAATAGTGTTATGACATCAGTAGGCAAGTGTTTGGGAGTGCCTTTTGACAGTCCATTTGATGGTGTGCTTCAGTGCATATTTGAGCATGTAAGATTTACACAATTCAGGTGCATGTTCACCATGTACATAAACATTTACATACATGTACATGTACATGTACGTGTACATGCATATACATGTAAATGTACATTCATGTAAATGTACGTTCATATACATGTAAATGTACATTCATAAACATGTAAATGTACATTCATGTAAATGTACATTCATATACATGTAAATGTACATGTATATACATGTAAATATACATTCATGTAAATATACATTCATAAACATGTAAATGTACATTCATGTAAATGTACATTCATATACATGTAAATGTACATTCATAAACATGTAAATGTACATTCATGTAAATGTACATTCATGTACATGTACATTCATATACATGTAAATTAACATTCGCATACATGTAAATGTACATGTATAAACATGTAAATATAAATGTACATGATATGTTGATGTACACATACAAGTGCATCATTCTACTGCATTGTACAATTACATACATGTCACATAACAGCTAGACATTGACTCTGCTACAGTTACATTGTCTGACCCTTTTTCTCCAGACACATTTATCATTCATAAGTATTCACATCTTGTACTCCTTTGTTTGGTCTAAAAATGATGTTCCTTTCTTTTAAAAAAAATGTTATTTTAGGCACCAGAGATTGCCAGGTCACTCCAGAGGGCGGTAGATTACTTTTCATCGGGCAAGAAAAAGAAGCAACACAGGTAAGATTTCCATAAATCAATCTCGGCAGATTTGAGCACACTTTATCATTAAATGTTTGTTTCATGTGCAAATGAGAGTAAATATACTGTCCGAAGGCAACACAGAGAGATTGATTACCGGTGTGTATTAAGTGAGAATTGGTGCTCGCTGGGGGGTTGTGGAATGATAAAATAGTCACATTTGTAAAGCACTTCATAGTAGAGCCTACATGTCTAAGTGCTTTTCGCTGTAAATATTATTACCCCAGCTTTTGGATTCAATTGCTAATCCACACGTGATAGTGCACACGCTCCGCTCCCTGGGGATTATTCCCGCCAAGCGCCATTTTGACAAGCCCACACATGCCAATCCAACTGCATTAACCTTCTGGTCATATTTTGAATATTATTCTTCAATTGCAGCACAGGCAACCGTCATGAGTATTGTTTTACTGTGGTTCCCTAGGCAAATGAATAGCAATTCTTTTCATAGAACATTTCTCATATCATTTTCTTCTAAGTAGGCTTAAAACGAATGCCAACGCTCACAGGTTTCTTGCTGTTACCAGAACTCAAACTACTCTTTAACCCTTACTGTACTATGGGGGGGGGGGGGGGCAGTCACGAGGTGCTCAAAATAGCCCAGTACAGTAAGGGTTAACCATGCTTGTGACATGCCAAATGGAAAAAAAATAGGCGAAGACATGGTTCATACAATGTCTATTCAGTCTTCCCATACAACCTTCCCATTCATTGCCAAACCTTCATGTCTACAAATAGACATACTCTAATCAGAAAGATCTGATGTGTGGCCGCCCCCCTTTGACATGTCACGTAATGTACGTGTCAATATGTTGACTTAACTTAAATGTTGTCTGTAATATCCCATTGCTTACGGAATCAAGTAGCGCCTGTTTTAAGCCTATGGCAATGCATTAATTCAGGAGTCAAAAGGCCTGTTTTCACTATCTCGAGATTGCCAAATATCCAGCTATTTGAACTATCCCGATCGCAAACTATCCAGCTAATTTGCGTTTTCATCAGACCGAAGTAGCAATTAAATTTGGTCAGGATTGGCATCCCAAGATATCTCTTGGGATAGTTTGCAAAATATCCTACTATTTGGCAAAATATCCAGCTATTTGTCCGTGCGTCTTCACTAGACCGAAGATTCGCAATATACGCTAACGCTGAGCAAAATATCTCGAGCTAATTTCTCAAGGTCGAGTTTCAAGTTTTGAGGTCGAATCTCGAGATAGTAAAGATGCGATTTGTTACTTCGGGATTATTTCCCAAATAGCGGGCTATTTGGCAATCTCGAGATATTTGGCAATCTTGAGATGATGAAGACGCGCCTAATGGGTTAAAAGCCAGGAGGCATAAACTGTAGTCTTCAGAATAGTTAAGAACACTTAGCGAAATGCAGTGGCAAAAAAAAAGTGTCCAGGACGCAAAAGACATAATAGTCAAAGATGCTTGTTGAATGGAAGTCAATTTTAACAGATCTCGATAAAAGTTTGGGTGACATCAAGCCTCGTTGAGATAGTACATGCATTTACCAGCTCCATATCCAAATGATGTGGTTGCAACTCTATGTGATAAAGTCATCATTTTCAACAATCATGCATTTTGCCCTCCGGACGCATCTTTTTGTTCAACTACATTTCGCCATGCTAGGTAAACTATTCTAAAACCCCATAATGACATTCTTCCTGTCACATGGTGATATCAATGAAGATGAGGCCATTTTGTTATGCTTACAGCATGTGCATTATTGCTTTCAATCTCATTTAATGCACTCAATTTACCCTGAGCAAATAAAAACTGCAGTTTGCCTGTCTCCCAACCTTTCCTTTTCATCAACCCTCTTTGTCAATACCATACTTCCATGTTTGTTGATGGTGTCGCACTTGAATGCCCTGTTGACGTATGCTTGCATTATATGTATTGTGTACTTTTAGTGAACTTTGTGACTTATTAATACATGATTGTTAAAGATAGGTGGTCCCTTGTACACACCTTAAAAACGAGCGGAAATGTAACATAGTCCAAAAGGATTTGTTTTTTCGATGTTACATGCTTCAAATGTTTGAAATTTTAAAAGCAATGTAATAGAAAATATGTCATATTTAAGGGATTAGGAAAGTTCAGCAAAGCTTTAATATGCAAAACTGTTTATTATTAGGAAATATGTTACCAGATTTTAAAGTGATTGTATTTGTACTTTCTCTACATGTACTCAGACTCCGACTAACAGAGTGTTATTTTTTCTTTAAAAAATAATTGTTTGCCTTTATATCAGTAATGTGTGTGGAAACCATAGAACATGAATAAGGGAAATTATTCTCATAGGTTTCACAATATAGAGAATATATAGATAAACATGTTTACTTGATATACATATATCATTTTGATGACAATGAGATTTAACAAAAAGATATATAGGAAGCAGAAAAAGAAGAAAGAAGAAAAAAAAAAAGAAGAAGAAGAAAGAAAAAGGAGAAAAAGAAGACAAATACAAAAAACAAGAAGGAAAAATATCAGAAAAGTATTCGCTGTAATGACACAAAGTGAAAGAAACAAGTGAGTAAGTAAACAAATTATGTGAGAGTGATGAGTTCCAACAATATTTCATATAATACAAAGAAGGCAGAAAGAACAGCAAATGTCCACCCCCCCCCCCCCCCCCCACCCCCATTCCAACACCCACTGCAAAAGCAAGAACAACAACTACAGAATGAGACTAAGTTAAGAAGACTAGGTAACCCATGGCAACAATAATAACAATGTCAATGCCAAGGAGAAAAAAGAGCCACCACTTTCATCCTCTGTGTGGTGCCAATACATGGCTTTGACCTTTGACCCTGGCTGGGTCACCAGGGAGCAAACCTGGGTTTAAACTTGAAGTCCCCAGCTGAACATCTATTATGATGATAGGCTTGCTATTCAGACCCTTGCTTGTGGAGATATTACAATCTCTTCGTGTGGACGACATCTAACAAGTTTTGTAATGTTATTAGTGCACTTTGCTTTTGCCAATGAAGAAGAAGAACCACAAGAAGAAAAACCACGAAGATGAGAAGACAAAGGAGAAGAAATACAAACGACAAGAACAACTTGACAAATATTTGAGTAATATACTCAATAACAATTACCTTACCAAATAAATATAACAGAGAATTATGAAAAGTGAACAAATAGCTGAAGGGATAAAAGAAAAGAAAAGAAGGAGTAGTGAAAGGAGAAGAAGAAGAAGAGTAACAAAATAAATGAGAAACTAAAGACATAAACCTGATAGCACCTATACTATTGAGAAATTACCTCATTAAATCTAAAACCATATTTTAATCAAGTTCATAGCAAAACGCTTATCAGGTTTCACGAGATGCTCTCCTCAACATCTCAGGAGGTCTATGTTTATGAACTTGAAGACTAGCTTGCCATGGTTAGCTAATATGCTGCTGTGATCGAGGAATTCCGCTGCACCCACCAAAAAATGATGCTAATATCGGTGCCTTCCTTTACCATACCAATGTTATACCACCCTGAACAAGTCTGGTATGTTCATGGGATTGGTGACGCATGTAACTTTCACTCTGAGTATATTTCGGAAGGATATTTACGATGGATTATTCACAGATAGTTGAATATTTTGCTCAAATGTATAGGTAAGAAATTCTAGACTTCGATTGTTTAAGTTTTGCTGATATTTTTTAATTTGATGGGGATTTGGAACTTATGTAGCAGACGTGTATGATGGTTTGTTGATGTTTTCGTCCATCGTGTACATGTAGTTTGGAATTTCACAAAGATTATTTGAGGGAACCAACTTTCGAGTGGTGGTACATGTAGTTGAGTAACTTCTGTATTTTATTATGAGTGTATTGGATTATGCTACCTATTTATACCGCCCCCCCCCACACACACACACACACCTCCACACTTGCTTGCTCCTCTAGTGTATACTGAGAACCTTTAAGGGTGCACTGTACCTTTACCATTCCTTTCAGTTTATGAGCTCTCACCATTTAAACTTAGACAAATACAACAACAACAAAGACAAAACACAAACACCAACACCAACTTCAACAAAACAAAAACAAACAAAAAGTAGCTCCTTAAAGCAAACTTCTTACATGTAACTCTGCTGTAAGTGGAGTTGCCATGTCGAAAGAAACTGTTGTTTTTCACTGTCAAAACGAATACACCTTTTAAAGGAGGATAGAGACGGGGAGGAGGGGGGGGGGGCTGGGCTTTGTCACCAATGACACAGCAGAAGGGTTTGAATTGAGAGAAAAATATTTGACCTACCCTTTTGCATGCCCTATTACATGCCCCTTTGAATACCCCATTGCTACCCCCCTTGCCTACCATGAGTTAAGTAAGATAATGGTTACATCTTGCTTTTAGACTGAAAACATTTTCACTGGAGGAGGGTTTTGATGTGGAGAGGAAAACAGGGTTAAAAGTAAATAATCACTCTGTGTTGAATAGGCAGATGGGATTGAATAGCAGAAAGTAAATTATTTGTTTAGCCTTATTATGTAATGCTGAAGTGGTTGATACAAGACAAGAATGTTTATGGGTACCTTGAAGAGACTACCTCAAACAAGAAGGTTGAGTTTTTATGGGAAGAGATGAAAAAGAATGTGTGAGTGTTATTGTACAATGCAAGAGTGGAAGAACGTCAGATGAAACAAAAGTACCCTGAAAAGCCTTGCTCTTTAAATGCCTTAATATTCTAAATATGGCATGTGACATCATGTTCGTGTAGTGGCATATACATCTTTCTGTGTACAATGCTTAAGTGACTTTTACCAAGACTGGGCCAAATTTCTTATCATTTTGGTGATTCCAGAACCTTGCAGTACACACACATGCTATATGATCAACCTTTTCTGATCGATGCCACAATGTATATGAACAGAACTCAACTTTATTTTCAAGTGGACCCCACTTCATAAAACTGGCGCAAACAAGCCTGTTCGTATGCTACTGATAATTTTGTATCATTATAACTGACATTTTCGTTATGGAAAGAAATGCAAAAGGGGGAGGACGAAGGACGAAGACAAAAATATATAATATATTGCAGTATGCTTCTGTAAACTTTGAACCCACTTTGAATACCCAGTACTTAGACATCGGAATGCAAACCTATTTTTAGAGACTGATACCATTGTCCATGTGCACAAGACTGTACACAACTGCATGCCTTTTCTAAATGAAAATTCATGTTGACAATTGTAGAGAATAATGGAAGACTGATCATTGTGTGCGTATGTGAGTAAACATTGCTTGCAAAGGGGAATATTTTTGTACATGATTGGCTGTTTTCAATAGAAAAGGTGCACCAGTTGCAGATTATGTAAATGTTTTGCGGAAATGTATCCATTTCCTTGTCCTTTTTGTAATTGACCTGACATGAAGGGACAGAAGATGAAAATGGAAGCAGCTATGAGCTCTATAAATCTAATGTTCCGTTTTCTTCCAACATCTCTTTTAGAAGTATTTTCTCTCTCTTCATTCCTACCCCTCTTCCACTCTTTCACTCTCCCTTCCTCCCACGTACTCCCCTCTCTCCTATAAAAGTAATATTGCTATTGAAAATTGTAAAATGTAAACATTATTTTACAGAATCGTTACACCTGTAATAACACTCTGACAATTAATGATTGTTTCCTGTATTCTATTATTAAATCAGGTTTCATTTCCATGTTGCCTGTCTTCGTCTTTTTTCTACTTGTAATCTTCAAAGGACTATGGAGCCTTTCCCAAAGACCTGAGTACAGATATATTATTATATTAAAGAAATTGTCTTTATTGTTTAGTTTTATTATCAATATTATTCTCTTTATGAAAAAAGCTTTGCAGTAGCTGCATCAAAGACTTGGAACAGCATCCCTCTTTCCATAAGGGAAATTACCTGTCCTGCCACCTTCAAAAGATCCCTCAAAACTCACCTTTTCCCCCAATGAGCTATGTCATATAATTCCTGTACTGTACCATTTTGTCCTCTTTTCATATATTTGTATTTGTAAGCGCTATATGGTACTTATTGTTTTTAGCGCTCCTAAATATTCGATGTTATTATTATTATTATTATTTATAAATTCCCTCCAGGTCTGACAACTATGGGATGGTGGCAGGAGCTCAGGCCCACCCCCAGTCAGATGACAGGAGAATGCGCTACGACGGAGACACCATGTACATCCCTCCCCCTCCCGATGAACCTGCCCCGCCCCCACCCATCGATGGCAACGTCAAGAACAAGGTTGCTGCCTTTGCTGCAGCCGCTGCAGCCGCTCAAGGTAGGGAGACTTCTTTGCTTTTGTTTCATGTTTTTGCTCCGTTTTTGTATTTCTTTTTTTTTTAAATAAGAGAAATGAATTCCAGTCACCTGGGTGTGGGGGTGTTTCACAAGAATTTATACCAAACTTAACTCTAAATTGGACTTTAAGATTATGGAGAGCCATTTGTAACCTTAAAATGAAATATATTCAAAAGCAAAAATTCAAGTACTGAAGACTTTTCAAAAGCTTGATCCACATCAAGAACATGAAAAATCCTTGATAATAGAAAATATGAATGATTTGAATCAACATTTCATTTATTTTCTAATAACTTTTATAAAATGTTTTCAAAGATGCTTTCCATAATTGTTTAGTCCAACTTAAAGATGAGTTCAACTTAGGATCTTTATGAAACGCCCGCCTCGTTAGCTTAGCAAAACGTAGTGGGAGGGGATGGCATGTTTAAACCGTGAAATGTCTGGTAATGGTCTTATTTTATATATGTCTGAAACGAAAGTTTTCAAGTAATGTAATATTCATCCTAATCAAGACAGTATACTCTCAACTCTCCAATATCCAGAGATTAGTATTATTTGGTTCATGAAACCGCATTTCCTTGCTGTCCTTTTAAGATATGGAATATTTGCATTCACTGTAATTTTCAGGTTACATTCGTGCACATTATTCAGCTACCATTTGTAAGTATGTTTTTGAGTAGGGTTGAAAAGGAAATCTAATTGTATCCCTAACACCACCCCCCCCCCCCCCCCCACAGTCTCTCAGAATGATCAATTAATTAATTATCTGCTTTGTCTGTTTCCGTTGAACGGTACATCGAAAAAGGGTGCCTGTATCTAACCTAAGGGCTTGCAATTTTGGTTTCTTAATGATTAGAGATTGTTATCATATATTCATATTACTTCGAGCATTTTACCACTACAGGTTGTAGGAATGGTTTCTCATCATGGGTGCTCTAGTCTTCTACCAAAAAATAGGCTTTATCATTTATTCACACCCTTCTTTTACCATTACAGGTAATGGAAATGGTGTCTGATTAAGGGGTTTAAAGGTTTCTGAAAGGTTACAGACTTATAACATCTTTTCATATAACTTCAATTTATTTTACCATTGTGGCCAATGGGAATGATATCTAACCAGAGTTACAGTCTCCCACCTATTACAGACTGCTATCATTTATTCATGTGAACTTTCCTTCTTTCACAGTTAAAGCCAATGGGAATGGCATCTGATCAAGGGGTTTCCAGTCTTCTGACAAGTTACAGATTGTTATAACCTTTTCATATTTTTGTTGCTTCTTTCACCATTACTGCCAATGGGAATTGTATTTTACAAAGAGGTTTCCATTCTTCTAAAAACTCCAGACAGGTATCATATTTTCACATAAGTTTCCTTTCTATTTCCCATTACAGCCAATGGGAATGGTATCTCACCACGGGGGTTCCAGTCTCCTAAATCAGCCCCAGTGAGGTCCTCAGAGTCTGAGGAACCCATTGAGTTGCTTGCTCAGAGGACAGAGAGGGACGTGGTAAGAAAAATGAAATATATATTATTTTGATATTTGACTAGGGTCCTGTTTATAATAATAAGATCAAGATTCAAGATTCAAGACAATTTATTGTCTGATTTAAAAAAATACAGAAATTTGTCCTCCACTGGCAAGTGACATACATACAAGCAACATAAACAATATGTAGATACATTCAAGGATACAAAGAAAATACAGAAAATACAACAATAATAATAGTAATACGAGCAATAACAAAACTGACATGTAAACTTGAAAACTGGCATTAAAAATTGAATCTCGACAATGCACAGAATGCATGAAATAGATGATAAAAAAGTGCTCTGAACATTCACCCCTTCTCTCCCAGAAGAGGAGTATGAGGAAAAAACAGAGAGAGAGAGAGAGAGAGAGAGAGGAGTCGCATGGCGTAGAACAGAAAGGAAATGTGAGGGAGAAAGAGAAGGTGACAGAAAATGAGTTCAGTCTCACACATTGTGCACCATCTCCAGTCCCTGGGGAGTAATTTTTACCATATTGTCACCATGAGGGCATGGTAATTACTAACACAAAGGCATGACTTCCATAGTACGCATAACAAAATTGAAGGTCAAAATGATTTTTGTGGAATGCTATGTTGAGTTATTGCATTAATAGCCCTCCAAGTCGTCACTATGATTCACTCTATCACATCTCTAGGAGATACTCAACCACTGTTTTGACGACATCGAGGCATTCATCGGCAGACTCCAGAAAGCTGCCGAGGCGTACACGGAGCTAAGCCGGAGACGACAGACCAGGAAGAACCGCAGGAGGGAACACGGCGACGGCCTTCTCCTGGCCAGGTCCAGACCACCCACGGATGGAGAATATATCGAGTGCTTCCAGAAATTCAAATATTGTTTTAATCTACTGGTGAGTTGTGGCTTTTCATTAAATTTAAATAAATTGGAGCTTACATGTATATATGTGTTGGACATGCAAAACATTTGATTCAGGACATAAACATGAAAACTAACAAATTATTAATTGTAAGGTCTGTAGACTCATTGCAAGTCAGTCAGCTCTACTTCCTTCCTATCACGTACTTCTGCTCTATCTGTCTTTTATTTGATACCACCTCTTTGTTTCGTACTTATATTTCTTCACCTCCTTTTCTTAGATTTTGGTCTTTGTTTCCTTCCTCCTAATGCCTTCTCTCCCTAATCTTATTTCTATCCATTTTGTTTTCTTTTAGAAATATTTTTTTCACCTCAAATTTCCTACCTCTTTCCTTCTTTCATCTCTTCTTTCCACTTCCAGTGCTGCTGTCCTTTTGTCTCTCTTTCTTTCTAGCATTCTCTCTCACACTCCCACTCTCTCTCACTCTCTCACTCTCCCCATCCCCCTCTCTCTCTCTCTCTCTCTCTATGTATATACATATATAAATCTCTCTCACTCTCTTTCCATTCATGTACTCTCTCCTTACAGGCCAAGTTGAAGGCCCACATCCACGACCCCAATGCTCCCGAGCTGGTTCACTTCCTGTTGGTCCCTCTCAAGCTCATCATCCAGAGCTGTCAGGGTCCAGAGCTGGCTGCCAGCGTGGTCTCTCCCCTCCTCAGCCCCCAGGCCGTGGATCTCCTGCAGAACTGCCTCACGTCCAGGCAGCACGAGCTCTGGATGTCGCTGGGCAGGGCTTGGACTTTACCCTCGTAAGTTGACCAAGGCCCTGTTTGGCAAAGATCTTTGGTTGAACTTTACTCTAAGTTGGACTTAAACATTATGGAGAGCATTTTGTAGCCTTTAAAATAAATATTTCAAAGTGAAAATTCAAGTATTTATTTCTTGTTAAAAATTCCACATCAAAAACATGAAATCTCCTTAATAATAAAAAAAAAATATGAATGATTTGAATCAAAATGGTATGCCTTTTAAAATAAATAACTGCTAACAGCTTTCCATAATTGATAAATTGAAATACAATGAGAAAAATAAGATTAATACATTGTATTCCTTGATTCCTTTAGAACTGAGTGGCCCAAGGACCGTCCCGTATCTCGTTACGTCCCTCGATTCCGTGATGGCTGGATCCCAAGGCCAATTCTAGAACCTCAGACCGCTCCAGACTTCAACACCTCAGTGTTGGTCAATAACGCATCGGTAGCGGCCAGCGCTGCAGCGGTGGCTCGGGAGTCGCCTAGAAGACTATCGGACAGGGTAGGTCACATTGATTCCAATAATGCTCTATCTTTTGCTGTTATCTGATGTCTCGCTTTGTTTCATCATTTTACCTTCTTCTGTCCTCGATTTATCCTGTTATTATGTCATGATTGTATTCTGTCTGTTTATATTTGATTGGAATGGAATGAAATAAATTGAATTGATTGTTTACTAGCAATCAAACACACCTATTAACAAAGATATTGACTACCTAAGAACAAGAACATTTGTGCATATTTTCATTTTTGAAGACTTGTGACAGACAGTTCAGTGCCCATAAATGGAATTTCTTGGTCAGTTGAATTATTGAAACAATGGAGGATAACATTTTCAAAGAATTGAACATTGCAGTATAGAACAAGAGGGAAAGAAGGACAAACATGCACATAAATCGCCCAAAGTGGTCAAAATAGAGATTTAAATGGCAGACATGAAAGCAGTAATTGTGGTAGAGAGAGAGAAAAAGAGATAAAGCAATGACACAGGCTATAGGTGGATGTAGGAAGAGAGAGAGAGAGAGAGAGAGAGAGAGAATGGACTTCCTTATCTTGGGTGAAATTAATGTAACAATGTCTCACTGTTTCTTTCCCTCTTTTGTAGAGCGATCAGCCTGATGGCCCCATTTTCGGTCACAACCACCAGAGACAACCTTCAAACGACAGTGGTGGCCATATCGCCAACGGACCGATCATCCACACCAACGTGCCTAATGGTCACTCAAATGGGCCTAATGGTCACTCGAATGGGCCCAATGGTCACTCCAACGGTCCCATCGGTCATTCGCAGGGACCGCCCACTCACATGAATGGAAACGGTTATCACCAGAGACAGTCATCAGACTCCCTGGGGCACAGTCCAAGGTAAGGCTAGGATAAGAACAGCTGGGCACCATTCAAGATTCCAAGACTGTGACTAGTCCTATGAGTGAAGATGTAAAGGAGAAAGGTGGTGGTGTAAGCATGAGAAATGGTACCAGTCTTGGAAAATAGACTTTGTTTCAGCTGTTTTAACATCTTGCAATTAAAAAACCTCCAAAGAAACGCATGTGAAAGACCTGGTAATAAGGAGATATATAGAGATATAGAATATAATAACAGAATAATGAAAAATGATAGAGAGAACTGATTAGAGAAAGAAGAAAAATGAAAAAAGAAAGTTGGAAAATAGGGGAAGGGGTCCACATTCATAGAGATACAGACAGATGGTAATGGATAGGAAGAGAAAGATATGGAATAATCAGAGAGATTGAGAAAGGCGAGAAAGGTCGAAATTCAGGCATGTAGATGGTGGAAGAAGGAGAGATAGAGAGAGGGAGAGAGAGAGGAGGGGGAGGGGGGGAAGAAGAGAAGAGAGTGAGTTGGGAAGGAGAGTTTGGGAGAGATGCATATAGTAACTATAGTTTAAAATCGTATCTTGGATGATGTACCAATCACTTTGTATTTATTGGATTAACAATTTCTGGATTTCTCGCATCTTTTTTTTTCACAGGGGTTCCGCCATGCCTACTCCACCCCCTCCTGCCCCTAAGCCTGTATCCAGTCCTGCACCCCCGGTGTCCAACCCCGTACCTACTAGACCCGGTGCTAAGACGGCAACGGCCATCTTTGATTTTGTAGCACGCAACTTTAAGGAGCTTACCATCATGGCTGATGAACAGCTTGAGGTGAGGATTTGCTTCATTTTTTATTTGCAATAAACGTTTCTTTTCAGTGATTACATTTCTTCAAATTTTGTCTCATTTTAGGTTCTGTCAGATCAATGTTTCAGTACTTTGCATGCTTTACCTTACACTGAACATGTGAGGCCCCAACATGTGACAGGTTGATTTTGCGAAATGTTTCCAATACTATGGAAAAGTGTTATCCATTTTCTCCATGATAACGTTAAATATGACCAGTGACTTGAAAATCCTTAAAATCCTTGGGCGATTGTCATGTCAAGACATTTTGAAATTTGAAAATGTTTCACATTGTCATGTCTCTCTCCCAGCCCCCCCCCCCCCCCTCCCACTCAGTGTTATTTAGGGTACGCATAAATATGCATGTTCCCTCCTTTTGAAAACACCCCCCTAAGTCCGGTGTATAAGGTCAATACGGGCCCAATTTTTGTGTACTACGAGCCGGACTCTGGTGCGTGAAAAGTACCCCTTTACTGGATATTTTGGTAACGCGCATGGTATCCCTCTGTTCACAGAGGAGTGGGGGGGGGGGGGGGGGGGGGGGTCTCACTCTCTTGTTATGCTAATTAACCCATTGCGTACTGAAACAGGGTGGTCCCTTTGTTAAAGGGATATACAACCCAAATAAACAACTACTCTTAAAGGCCCACTACACTACTTGTAGCTACTTGTGCCCTCTATATAACAAACAATGCCTAATCGGTGACCATTGGTCCCCCATGATCCTCTTTTTCTTATGTTAACTGAGAGCTGAGTTGATGAGATAACCACCTGTCCAGTGACCTTGCAGGGCGCTCTAATCCCTCCTGTTAACTACGGCAGATAAGCTTTAAGAGAAAACAGCCTGTGTTTTATAAACCACCTGTTTATAAACACCACTTGTCATGTTTCCCTCGAGTGGTCTTTATATACAGGTTTCACTATAATAACAAATTCATCTTCTATCCCACAGGTCCTGAATGACACGCGTAAATGGTGGGAGGTCAAGAATACCTCGGGCCAGTCCGGTTATGTGCCTTCCACCCTGCTCAAGCTGACTAGCTCCCCCTCCCCCAACACAAACACCAACTCAAACCACGTCCCAGAGCCCCCTCACAGCCTACCGCCCCCTCCTCCACAGATGTCAACGTTCAATGTGAGTATCCGTGTAGGCCATTTGTGGTTATTTGTAATCCTCTTCGTTACTTACAGACCACATCTATAATTCATGCGATTGCATTGTGAAAGAAAAGTTGTGGAATCGATCAGAAAAGGTTGATCATGTAGCATATAAGTATTGGTGTGTACTGCAAGGTTCTGGAATTGTTGAAATAATAAGAAATTTGGCCCAGTCTTGGTACAGTTACAAGCACTGTACGCAGAAAGATGTATTTGAATCTTGAATCTTTGAATCTTTGGAGTGGCACAACTGTTTATCTGTAATATTGTTCTTCTTCTGTGCATCATGCTCTTACTAAATCTCGGTTCAATTTGCTCTTTTTCCATTCTAGGCCCCTCCCCCTCCTCCACCCCCTCCCCCAGCAAATGGAACAGGACGGTCAAATTCAACTCAGAGTAAGTCTCCCACATCCTTTTTGTGGTACTGCTATGAAAGCCCCACTGCATTACTTTGAGCTCCTTGCGCCCTCTATATAGCGAACAATGCCTAATCAGTGACCATTGGTTCCCCATTTGTCAATGTTAATTGAAAGCTGATTTGATGAGATAACCACCTGTCAGTGACCTTGCAGGGAGGTCTAATCCTTCCTGGCCAAGCAAGCACAGATTGGCTTTGAATAACTTACGTATTGGATTCATTTGAAAACCAGATGTAATCGTTCCTTTCCTACGGTGAATAAAAGCCTTAGTTATTTTGCTTTTACTTTTTCTGCCCTAGAGGGAGACTGTGTTTATAGATTATATATGCAAAATTTGTCCATTACAGTTTTTTCCAAACTGCCATAGTTAGGAACCTATTAACGATTTTGTATAATTGTTCACACTCGTTATTTGTAATTGGTTGCAGTGTATGATTTATTATTGTGGTTCATAATTAAACGTATGATGATAATAACAATAATAGTGGAGTCTTGTAAAGCGCTCATGTCTGACACATTGCCGCTTAAGGCACTCCATTAGGGATACTCCAGCTTTAGCACGGCTACCATTATGGTGCCCAAGCATTTTAAGGAATTAATTTCTACCTGGTATTGATTTACCTTACCTGGCCGGAGTGTGGTGATTTGTAGATTAATGTCTTACCAAATGACATTATCACTGTGGCATGGATTCAAACCCTATGCCTTGTGGTTCACAGTCCAGAGACTTATCCACTGGACCACAATGCCTCTACATGCTCGTAGTTCGAAATGCATTATTAAATGTTGATTGTTCTATTCCGTCTGCTTTTTCAAAATCTGTGTTGTCTGCAGAAGTAAACGGTATGGACATACTTGTACATGGAAGTGCATTATTAGATATTGATTGTTCTATTCTGTCTGCTTTTTCCAAACCTGTGCTGTCTGCAGGAGCTAACGGTATGGACTTTGCTACCCAGCTCCAGAACACATTGAAGAGCAAACAATTCAAGCAACCTAATGTACAGGAGCGAGGTAAGTTTGTTGCTGCACTGGCCACAGTAATTATTAAAGGCAAATCCCATATTGATAGCAAACTACTCCAGAGAAAAACAGAACAAATCAGATAAGCAGACTGGTGAAAGTTTTAAATAAATAAGGGAGTTACAGTGTTTGAAATTATGAGATTCACTAGATCCATGCAAATCTCAAATAGAAGATTGGTAAGTGGATTATTACTTTGTCATGGGAACACGCTCCTGTTTGTCATGTACACAAATGTAATTAATTTATCATTTTCTCCTGTTGGGCACTACTCAAAATATACATAACTTTCTTATCTTTTATCTCCCAAACAAATAAAGAGTTACCTATTGCCAATAACAATTTCATACAGGGGAATATAAAGACTTTTCAATGACACACACACATGGCGATACAGTAACAAGAGAGATATAAACGCTGAAACATGGATTGCAGAACTTTTTTTAAGGGGCTTTATATTCCCTTTTGTCTATGGAGCTCTTGAATATGTTCATTTTCTTTTGTTGCCATAGCACCAACATCCAGTAGTCAGTACGACACCCTTCAAGAGGAGCTGAAGAATCGTGTAAGCAACGGAGGCAAGTCCAAGAACTACCGCGTCCCCAAACGAAGTATTAGCGATGTGACACTGACGTACGACTCGAGTAGGGACGATGTGAAGAGGTGGCTTGAATCCAAGGGCTTCAGTCCCATGTAAGTATTTTGAATGAGGGTTGGTGTACAGGGAGAGAGAGAGAGAGAAAGAGAGAGAGAGAGGGAAAAGGAGGGAGAGAGAGAGATAGAGAGAGAGAGGGAGGGATAAAGAGAGATAGAGGGGTAGATGGAAAGGAGAGAGAGAGAGAGCAAGGGCAAGAGAAAGAAGAATATAGATAGAAAGAGTGAACTAGAGTTAGAAAAAGAGAGAGATGTAGAGATACATGTAGGGGGAGATGGAGAGATAGAGAGAGGGAGAGAGTTAGTAGTGTGGTCTGAAAACTACATTATATATTATTTTCTTGTATGTGAGATGAAAAGGGATTCAGGATATCTTTCTTGCTCTTTCTGGTATCTCTTTTCATGTTTACACTGCAGCTACCTTCTCTCAGGTATCTCTACCTCTGGGACAGTTTTCAGGCTTGGAATCTTGAATAGAGCCCAGCTGTTTAGTTTAATCAAGAATGAAATCCAACACATTGTTTCTGTGTGCTTATATTGATACGATGTCAAGATCAATAAAGAGTCTGAAAGAAAGTCTACTTCCTAAGACTTGTACCTTTTCTCAGGCTTACACCGCCACCTTCTCCCATTCACCGTCTTGGCGTTGTGAATGGTTTCCAGCTGTTAAGTCTAACCAACAGGTTACAGCTTCAGCAGGTCTTAAGCATATGTTCCTGTGTGGTTTTTAATCACAAGATGTAAAACACCTAAAAGAAGTCTATTTTCCAAGACTGGTATCATTTCTCAAGCTAACACCACCACCTTCACCTTTACATCTTCACTCATAGGACTGTTCACAGTCTTGGAATCTTGAATGGTGCTCAGCTGTTCAGTCTTACCAAGGAAGAGCTACAGCAAGTCTGCCATGACGATGGATCCAGAGTCTACTCTCAGCTCATGATCCAGAAAGCAGCTCTTCAGGTAACTTTACAAACTAAACTGTAAATACAGTCCCATGTCACTGTTTGGCCCACAGACACCAGATTACTTAAATATTTACATGTATATCTGTTGCACTTAAATGTATTTAGGTACACCATACATGTGCGTGCACTCTAGGTTAAGAATCTGTTTGCTCAGTATCGTATGGTTTACACCAAGTAGAGTGAGGAGGTTTTGTTGTTGATGGGTTACATCACCTCATGTACATGTGTCATTTCATTTCTACTGTACATTAATGGGAGTGAAGCTCCGGAACGAGGCTTGATCAAACTGCTGTCCAAACTGTTATCTTACACCTTATTTGGTCACTCGTGGTCAATAACTAGGGATAATCGGGTAACCATCCAAACTAGACTAAAAATACAGTCACCTAACATGGTAGAGAATATTGTTTTAAAATATGGCAAATTTTGATAAAAAACAATGATTTTGAAGCCCTCAACCTTTTGATACTAGTGAATCAGACTAGAAAATGTGAAATGATGGTCACGAAAGGGATATGAAGTGGGTTTGGGTATCTCAATTAGATCATCTGATATATGATTTGCTCACCGGTGGTTAGTGCGGCAATGTGTGAACCGATTTTAGTCTTGAAACTCAGATGAAATAGAGATACACATTGTACATGCAACATTTTTAGATGATAATACTAATAATTTAAACTTCTGTGATATCATGTATCACTGGATACATCTTGTATGCTTGCTGGTGTAGAAGGGGGCCCAGTATTTACACAGTAAACATTAACTTTGTATTACCGTAGTATAACCTGTAGCAAGCAACATATATTTGGGGAAAACCTGCTAGACATACACTGTAGAGACGTATAACAGTATATAGTGGCTATATATATCATATGTATGCTTGGCAATTTTAACCTCATTATAAATCATATATTTTAAACATTTATAGTCATTAAGTATATTAATCATTTTGGAATATATTATTTGTGCATGAACAGCACCTATTAATTCAATACCCCAACATGGCACAGTCATTTGCACGCATTAGCTTTTCAGTTTAATGGAGTGCAAGTGTATGTACATGTGTTGTTAATGTTTAACTGAAGTATATCCCCATGTCTTATCCTTAATACATTCTAATACATGTATATATGTCATTTTGTTAAAGTTTTGTCATTTCTAAAGCATGTGAGCAAGTGACAAATGTGACATGCTAAAGCTATAAGTATCTACATGTATTCCATAAAGGCCCTAAATCAACCAGTCCACCTTTCATTCTTGAGTTACGAAAAAAACAAAAAGGATCAAATTTAAAATTTCATAATTCAGTTGTTTACCGAGTCATTATTGTAAATGTTTTAACTACAGTATAGCCTCATGTCTCACCTCCAACACACTCTAATACTAGTACATATAAATATATATTAAACAAAAAATCTTAAATAAGTGTTATTATGATACTTCTTCAGTGGCATTTTAATATAAAAGTTTCAGAAATACTTGAATATTTAGTATACTAGTAGTTAGGGATTGCATATATATTGAAGAGAAACATGGTTTACCAATCTACTAAAAGTCCAAATTAAAAAGGGAGAAGTACCAGTCCCAGATCCAAAGCCAACAAATTAATGTAGCGCCTCAATTCTGGAAACTACCTCTGACTCTAAGTCACTTTGTGATAAAATTGGAAGCTAGTGTAGTGATATGTGTATCTATCTTTCTCGTGCTGATGTGTTTCCATAAAATTGTGATATTTCCTCACTGTTGGTTGTAACCCCACCGAGTTGTATATTTAGTACCTGCGTGAATGTATTTCTAATGTATAATGGCAATAGTGCTGCCAGAACAAGGAGTTACGAGCTATGATATATTTCAGTATTTAAGTTGCTAATTATCTCAAATATGGAAGCGGCCTTAAAATTGATGCGAAATGAACAATTTCTGTCGGTCCGCTCAGATCAGAAATCTGAGACTTGCAAAATATAGCAATTTTTTGCAATCAAGCCCAATTTTTTTTGTTGACAGTTTAGTTACAATATGATTTACTAATCAATAATTTGCCTTTTCATAAGGCCCTCATATTGTTATAAAGATTGCAATGCAAAATCTCCCACCCCCCCCCCCTCAAACAGAAAGAAGATACAAGTTAGCTTGCTTTTTCACCTTTATATCTGTTGGTCCCCATTTAGATTTCAAATAGACACCATGTTTCACAAAATTAAGAGGGCGAATAAAAAACACTAGTGTTGCCAATTTAATTTGTAAGAACCAGTTCTTAAAGTTAATGATCAGACAGCACGTTGTTGATTGTGGCATGTTGGTGTGCACCTCTCTTTTCTTCTTTAGGAGCAGCAAAACGGGAAGTCTGAGCTTGACGCCATTATGATGCAGCGCAAGTCTCGCGTGATCGACGACGCCCTCCCCCCGCCCGATTTCATCCCGGTCCACCCCCCGGTGTTTGATTCGCCGACAGGTAGACACCTTTGATCCTCCACAAATGCCGCAAATGAGAGAGAGGAAAATTAAATAATCTCTTTCCTGAAACACTTATTCAAATGAAATTAGTCTACAGTTGACCTCCTTGAAGTCTTCAAGAGATGGTCTATCTTTTTGCTTTTACTCCAAAGAAGAAATATGGGTTCATTGTTTTCCTGGTAGTTTGTTGGTAGTCATTATTACTGTCTCTTAAAAAAAAAAGGAATTATGTCTTTTTGTTATTTCTTATAACTAGCGTATAGAATGATGCCACATACCCTGTTCTCACTTGAAAATCTTGGCCTTCCTCATTTCATTCATTATCTATTTGATTTCTCCAAAAATAACTTCTTCTTTTAAAATCTTTTCTTAGCTGTCTTTATAGGCCACTTTGACTAATTCATTGAAAATAAAGAAGCCTTCTTTGTATTAAAACAAATAAATTATCAGTGAATACTTAAAATCAAAATGTAGAATTGTCCTCTTTTGTACTGCTAGTTTCTGTAAATACAATATATTCTCTTCACACACAAACAAATCAAGATGAATCTTATTCCTTCATCAATTGGTGTTCTCAAGTCTTTTAGTCAACATAATTCACTTGCACTAGTTCAAAACGTCACTCTCTGCTCCTCATGCACTTGTCATTATTAATCTCATTTTGTTTTGTCATGTTTATTACATAAATGTTGTTTAACAAAACACTCAAATTAAGTGTATGTTTGTATGTTTCATGTCACTAACAGAGCACTAAATATGTTTGTGAAATTCAACTTTAGTTTCATGCATCACCTTGGATTCCATTATCTTCCATGTCATCTAATATTCTCTAACTTTTGTCTCCCCTTTCCCTGCCATTGATTTAATCTACATGTACTAAATATGGTTTCATCATGTTACATGCCTTATCTTTTGGCAGACAGAAGTAAATTATAATTAAAATATTGTGATTGCTGAAATACTAATCCCATCTCATCTCTTTTTCTCACACATCTGTATTTTCATGCTTTCAGAATCAGAATTTTGTACATTTCTCTGAAATTTCATGTGGCATTTTTGTTCTGGTTCATTAATGTGCTTGGATTAATTGGGTTTGTCTGGATAACAGAATGGAAAGTACATTAAATGTGTTGTTGTTAAAGTCTGGTTATCTCTGGGGAAAAAAATGGTCTGTGTTGGAATATTAAGGGATGTTCTACTTCATGGTGTTTCACTGTTGTTCTATCTCCCTGGTTTAACATTGCAACAAATGTCAAGCTCGTCATGCTGCAGAACATCTTTATTTCCAATAAGAATTTTGTGGAAATGAATATCCATATGGCATTGACATCTTGAGTTCATTACACAATTATAGTATAATACTAAACTGTAGACAAAAATGATGTTGACACTTGTCGCACCACAAATCAGTGGATGGTTCCTGACAAAACCTATGGTAATCATAGGGACCACCATTCCCATATCATTTGATGCCTTGCAAACATATTCCTATATATCTCTCATAGAGTCCAACGACAAAATGCAATCATAATCCTCTGTTTTCACTGATTTAACCTGATACCATATAAGTCCATTAACACAATTCAATCTTATTCCTTTGTTTCCACAGATCTAACCTTATACCATATAAGTCCACTTTCTTTGCAAACTAATTCTTTTTTAACTCTGCTAATTACAGAGCACCACCTTGTACCATATAAGTCAATTGACATAATGCATCCATATTCCTTCAATAGTTCTAAAAGAAGATGACCTTATACCATATATGTCCATTGACATTATGCAACCTTATTCCTGTATTGCTCTTATAGAGGGGCCCCCAGACGTCCCATGGTGAAGTTACTTGGAACATGTCGCGACGCTTCTAGAACCTTCTAGCGCTAACATGCTTGTCTGCTCATCTTTGGTTCATACGGCAGTTAAAATCAGCTTAATCCACCATATGCTTGGGGTTTTCATGCAATAGCCTTATCCTCCACTTAACCCATTCCCTATTGGAACCAGGTGGCAATGTATTAATCATATGGCAATGAATGAATTCAATAATCAATGGGTTAAATGTGAATAATGTGAAAATAAACTGCTTATTCATTATCATGGATTGACAGAGGGGTTAAAGAAAGCTGCATGTGCCTGAAGTACAGCGTTGTCTGAATTTATCCATGCTTTTCCATGTGCTTTAATGTCCAATGCTTTTGCTCTGTTTTCATTTTGCTCTGCTCATAATGCTTACAAGTAATGAATCAGCAGCATTCATAATGCTTATGCTCACTAAGCTTATGCTTATTTGCTCTGTTCGGCTTCTCCAATTTCATCTGAGTTGATCTGTATGAGAGGAATTCCCTGACCAATTCCTTAATTGGTGATATCACAAAAGTAAGAAAGTTCATCATTCATGCAATTGCTCCAATGATGTAAACCTGGGCACACAATAATGTGATTTGGTGTTAGCCACTCCAGCTGTTGTGTATTAAATTTCCATCTACTACGAGTTCAAATTATAGACTGCCACATTGTTTTTGACTATGTTATATATACACATTGCATTTTGTGCATAGTCATACTCATGCAGATATCAAATTGGGAGCACAGTCGGCCAAATAATATGCACACCAGGAGTTACACTATTTCATTTTACCAAACATTTAATGAAGAAAAGTTAAGAGCAGTGTTTTAAAAAAGCAAACATTTTTAGCAGGATGTTCATACCATTCCTTTTATTAAGCTGTAGATGATACAAATGTTTTATATTTACCAGTATAAGACCACGCTTTTCAAGAATACATGCATACATTTGAAAAACATTGTTAATATCTTGAAGATTGAAGCCTTCTTAAAGTAAAAATAGGGACAAATCTAAAATGTGTCAATAAAATAGCCATAAAGACAAATAGAAACATTACGTGCTATGTTATTTGTATAAGTGTAAGTGGTTACTGTAGTGCTGAAGAGAATAATGTAGTCCCATTGTATTCATTCCAATGTTAGTGATTATTACAGTACTCATATCTGTACTAAATTTGTATTCCACTATGTTATGGATAAGTTTTCACATACAGAAGATACATATTTAAACAGTAGCACTTATGTTTTCTGCTGTTCATGTCAGCAAATGAATTGTATTCAAGATTAATTTGTATATTTTGTTAATGACAATATAATACTAATACTACTTTGACACTTGTATATTATATTTTTTACCAATAGAAAATCTAAAATATTGTAAATTTGGAATGTGTTGTAAACAGTTATTAAACAGAATATAAATTTGTGATATGATCTTTACAAATCGGTGCATTTTTAAAACAAGAGAGGAAAAATATATCATTTTTAAGACTATGAAGCGTTTATGCTGAGCTGAAAAAGAAAAAATCAGTTGATATTCTGAATAAATCTACCTTTGTACATATGATTGAAAGTAGAGATGTAAATAGTCTGTTATACAATTTCATTTATGTTCCGAGGAAAAAACATATATTCCCAAACATTCTTACAAATATATATATGCATATGCTCCCTCTATATATACCAGTATTCTGTGTGTTTTGTACAATTGGGTTGTATACAGAGGTTCAATGCAAATAAACCATGTAATTCATACCTATATTTATCAATTATATATTAATTTGTGTATTTATATTAGTCTATGTAAAACATTACATTAGTGCCTATTACAGAATGTTATGTACATTTTTACCACAAATGTCATCTGTTGAGAGGCAGGAGGGCCTGAACTCATACCACAGAGTTCATACGTTTCCGGGCTCTGAACATATGGTGTGTTAAGATTGTAAATGATTATATTTTTGGAAAGAGAGAGAAAGAAATAGTTGAGGTGATGTTGATTGTCATTGCTACAAATTTGTTTATATTTGATGTAAGTAAGGATTTTCATGGAGGAATCGGTGCATGTATTCAATTCCTTGTGGCTCGGAAGATCCTCGCTATAAATTGATAAATGTTCTTCTTGATATCAAATGAGATAATACCTTATATACCACATGCATACTGTAAGGTATACTTAAAACTTATTATGTTAACTTACCATAGACATGTGAAATATATATAACTATATATAGTTTTCAATATATATGCAACATACTATAATGATTATATCCATCCAATACAGTTACTCAAATACAACAAAGATATAAAGCGGTGTATACACAAAGATTTGTATTGCTCTTTCCTGAAAAAGGCCATACTTGATCCAAGACAATCTAAATGGAATCACTACAGAGTGAGATATCTTATATACAGTGTACTGTTATGTAATATGCTTATTCTTGATATGATATGGATAAATTCATGGTGTTTGGGTTCTTTGGGGGCCCTTCACACTAAGCCTAATTCACATTGCTATCTCTTCATGTGGATGGTGTCAATGGTGTTGGTACCAAGAAACATTGACACCATCCACATGAAAAGATAGCACTTTAAGCATCACCATGGCCTATAAAGAGACTCCATTCTTTATTCCATAGCTTTAGATATTGCTGAAGTTGTTAAAAATACCTCAGAAATTGTTTATTTAATTCCATAAACAAAGTTACTACTAAAGTGACTCCTAAACTAGAATATTTTACACTCCTTAGTACTAAAGATATCAGTTTCCCCTAGTGAAAATTGACCTTTTCTTGTTCCTTTTCATATACTTTGTTTCCTTTTTTGACAAATGACAATGCAATCATGCATATCATATGATGTGAACGCACTTTTTTGCACACCTACACAAGAACAACTCAAATTATTAAACATGTTTCATGTCTATTTGTTTAGCTTTTAATTATTCACTCAAACGTTATGTTTCCCTTACCAATATGTTCTCATCTGTGACAGTACCGAAGAAAAGAAAAGGCACCCAAACATAAGTTGTGTAAACATGTAAATGTTATTCTATTTAGTTTATATTCACACACATACTATGTTTCCAATACAGGTATGAATTCAATTGTTTTTACTTAATTGTAGGAAAACTACTTAAACGCATTTTGTAAGCATCTCGTATAAGTTTGTACTCGTTTTGTAAGGTAACAATAGAGTATTCCTTGACAACGTTTTCCACAAGTGTGGGTTAACTTATTTGCCAACCAAGTGCAAACGGCTTACTTAAAAAAAAACATTTAACCTGTGAAGCTGTTAAATCGTTCATTATGTTTGTTTTAATTACAAGCCTGTTGTTAAAATTTTGTCATATGCCCAAACGTTCGGTTAAAATTTGTCAATGTCTGTATACTTGTTCTTCTATCTTTATTCTCTGCGGTTTGATAAGAATATAAAACCGGGAGAATTATTTGTTGTATTACTTATGTTATCGCATTCTCAATCTTTAGCATTTTCCTTACAAACTATTTGTTAAATCCTTCAAAACCTCATAGTATTTTTGTAGATTTGAAATTATATGAAAAGATAATGTGTATACTTAATCCATGAATAGATTTAAGAAAGAAATTAAATAAGTATCCCATATATCTATATCTATATCTGAATAGTTATTGAATTTCTTTTCTTAGAAAGGTATGTACGACAATTTAAGTTGAATAAACATTGCAGTGGCCGCGTTCTATAACGGTCTCTTGTTTTTATTTGTAATGTTGGATATCTCTGAAAGAATGTAAATAGTCTGTTATAGACAGTATACGCATATAGTATTATATTGCTCATTAGACAGAGGCCTGCCTTCTTTTGTAATGAAATATCAAAGTGGATTATCAAATCAAAGTTATTACAATGTTGAGCAGAAAGACTAGTATTGATTCAGAAAATGATATTTCTGTACATAAAATTATGATATATCATTATTAAAGATATGGAGATTATCTAGCCATATTTTTAGTTCCTTCTTTTTTGTTAAATGATATTTGTGGGGAGTAAACTACTGATGGTTTGTCTTGAACAATTTCTATATTTTGTCTCCATTTTTTCTGAGGAAACAAAATGATCGTACTAACGTATTAACCTTATACTTATGTAAATAAAGATTGTTAAGTTTTCCCTTTGAGAGTTTATCACAGAAAATGTATGTGTATCCATTTTGAATACACCTCCAAAAGAATGATGAATATTTACTGCAAAAGACAGATGTGCATGTAAAGCATATAGGGCACATATTATTTCTAATAATTTCACAGTTATTTTGATTTAAACAAAATCAATGTGCCTTTTACGTAGAGACTATGTACGTTACGATACGGTTAACAGAAGGGGCTGAATGGGTTTAAACAATGATGCTGTATGTATAAGATGAAAGTAGACATTTCTGATTTATTACAATTTGTTGTTGTTTTAATATTTTTTTAAGTGTCAATTATTCACATAAGTTTATTATGCTTTTATTTAAAACCAGGCACGTGATTTTTTTTAAATGAGGTTTTAGCATTTGAAGTATGTATACGTTACGTTTATTCCAAAAATGTACCTTGTTCATGTCCTTAAATGTATGTATTCCATCATTTTATGTACTTTTTACGTGGTAAAATGTCAAAAATCTGTTTTCAACTTTCTTTTCCAATGCTAGTAACGTGTATTGTAATTATCATGATATCAGTGCGGGCAGATTAAATTGTATTATTACACTCGTACTCATGAAGTCTGCGTGTCTATATTTTTCAGTCTTGAGTTATTTACACTCGTATTTCTGGTTCATGTCAACTGTAATTGTACCGTAATTTACAACGTTATTTCGAGTGCTGTATTGATTGGGTTATACTAAGTAGGCTCTTGTTTCATCAAATTAAAAAGACAAGGCGTAATATTATAATGATAATCACAAAATAAAGAGAGACATTGAACAGCGACATGGCTTTATGGGACTAGAACGTTGTAAACTTCAAGAAAAAAGAGAAAAAGTCAAAACAGTTATTACGAAATGAACCAGCTTGACTAAAAGGCTCTTAATCGGAGTCTTTCTCTTTTTTAGTACCCCCCCCCCATCATTATCTTCCCTCTCTCAATCTCTCTCTCTCTCTCTCTCTCTTATCCGTCTCCCGCCCTTTCTCACCCTCACCCTATCCCACCCTCTCTCTCTTTCTCTCTCTCTCTCTCTCTCTCTCTCTCTCGCATCCCTCCCCCCATCACTCTCCAATCAATCGTTTACATAACTGTCACCGACGGACATGTGAGATAGATGTAAATACCGACTGTAAACACGAGATTATACATCAATAAGAAATATTAGGTTCTTACAACTTTCTTAATACATTCTCTATTTATGATAAAACTTCGCTTTATGAATATATTGATGAATACTTTTAAAATGCATTAACATTTCATTGAAGCCCGAATTGTGAATACCAAAAAACATATTTAGAACGATGACCAGAATCTTTATGTAGTCATTATTCAATTCAGATGCACACTAACGTGCTTTGAACTAAGCCCAAGGGTAGAGAAAAATAGATAAAGATAAACATTAGACTACACTTCACATATTTAATGATACTCATTATTTTCATTTCTCTTTCTTCATGGGGAAGTAGGAGATCACCTATTAGAAGCCTTACATACCATGTTCATGCCTTTATTTTTAAGTGGCGTTTATGGTTATGATTTGTTCATTGTGCGCGAATAACCCTTCTTACTAAAGGATTACAACATCAGTTCATTAAAGTTAGTCAAACACATAAGATAAACATACATTCCCTGACTTCATAAAATATGAAAATTAAAATGTCAAAACCAAGGGTTGGATGTTATCATGGATATGTGGTAGCATTTATACAACAGCCGATCATTCTATCGTGATGAGCTGGAAGACATTCATAAGCGTAAAGTCGAAAGTTTCCAATAATTCACAAAACTACATTAAAAAGAAACATTGGAGACGAATCTCTAAAATGTATGAAATATATCGGACATCCATACATCCACATTGCATATGTGGTGGGGACTAGGGACGAACATCAAGGGGAAGAATAAAGAAAACAATGAGAAAGATCCCCAACATTTATGGAACATATCAGATATTCATAATAAGATCTAAGGTGCACACTTACCTTCAATTTGGTGATATATAAACGGAGGCTTTACAGCTAAGTACGTAGTAGATCCTTTCTGCAATTCGCTCATCCTCACACGCACACACCCTGACACACGCACACTCATATTCGTAAACACACCATAATAACATACATTGACAGGCAAGAACACCCTCACGTATAGCCCTCAAAAACCCTCCACAGCCAATATCACACGCGTGCGCACACATGCACACTTATATCCAGTATTAATTTGTAAAAGAGAAAGTACAGAAACTTAATAACGTCTCCATATTTTTGAAATTCAATTACAGAGTGTATTACTCCTTTGAACGCCGCAAAACATAATAACAATTAAATAACAAATGTATTAAGCTCGGTTACATAAGATTAACTTATACGTGCTAACCCTGTTGATGAATCTGACATGGAGCATACCTTGTTTTACATGGTGTACTCTCTTTACTGATCGTGTTATCGATTCCTTGTAGTAAATTTCAAGTGTACCAATCACCAAAACATGACTGTTGCATTTGATGTAAAAGGTTCCAAGTGGCTATATACTGAAATCAGAATGAGGGCCTCAAATTTTTCTTCTACCAAGAGATATTGCAATTTGAGTACATTCTAAGTGAGCAGTAAAACCTCTCGAGTAAATTAATAAATATCCCCACACTTTTTTTCCTTCAAATACCCTATGTGCCTCATTTACCTCCACTAACTTAAGATAAGTGCCTCTTTTTATTTCTAATAGTTGCCCGTTCAACATTCCTATACGTGCCTCTTTTCACCCCTGATAAGTGCCCCGTTTATTTATAATTGCCCTTCTTCTGATCCGACAGGTGCTCATTTTACTTAAACAAGTGCCCTTTTCTTTTGTAATAAGTGCCCCTTCCCCTTCTGATAATTGTCCCTTTTTATCTTTGATGAATGCCAATTTTTTCCACCGATAAGTTCACCCTTAATTTTGTTCTACACGTGCCCCCCCCCCCCTGTTCTCTCTAATCAGTGCCCCTTTTCCTTCAGATAAATGCCCCTTGTTTTTCTTTTTTGATAAGAGCTATTTCCCCTTCTCATAAATGCATCTGCTTACACCTCTGATAGATGCTACTATTATCATCTCATGGGTGCCCCTTTTCATTTTACAAGTGACAATTTTCCTTTGTAAACGTGCCCCTTTCCATTCTCACACGTGCCCCTATTCATTTTAGGCTAGTGCCCCTTTTAAACTCTGATGAGTGCTCTTAATCAAAGTTGACAGGTACCCCTTTTTCTACCGATAATTGCCCCTGTTCCTATATATTATGTTAAAATGTCCCTTTTATTTTATAATCAGCATCCTTTTCCCTCTGGATATGTGCCCCCTTTTCCTGAAGTACTATACGTTAAAAACCCAAGCCCCCCTCCCTCCACCTGTCACTTCCACATATTAGGGTTAGGGTGAACTGCAGATGTCAGAGTAGACTCGATCGCTCTTTGCGTCTAAAAATCATCGTTTTAAGAAGGAGACCAGGAAGAAATTTTCGCACTGCCACCTCACAAATCATTAAATTTGTGCTGGCTCACTTCGCTCGTTCGCAAAGAAATGTTTAGACCATCACACCAACATGAAATAATGATACTTAAAGGTACTATGTCCCATTTGCAGGCCAAAAAAAATTGAAAGGTTAAATGCCAAAGGAATTTGAAAGACAATACTAATTTAGAACTTCCTTAAAAACGAAAGGGCTTGAAAAATGGCTTTTAGTGGGAAAATAACGACCATTTGATATCGAATCGACTTAAGTGATTGCAAGCATCTAAGTAATAGTCTGATTTCCATAATCTTTTACCAAATGGTCGTACGTTTTGTGCTGCACAACGATTCAATCAGTTTAATTTTGGCAATTACAAGTAGTGGGTCATTGATGTAGACACAATGCTAATGTACCTGGTATACAGGCTCATTTTACGTATGTTATTTCCAAAGAACAATAGATATCAAACAGTCACTCAATATTTTCTGATAGTAAAGTCTAGAAGGTTAACAGGTTTCCTTGCATAATTTGAATACTAGGACACTACTAATGGTTAAATTTCACAGATAGGACATACACGAGTTATAATCCTGCAACGTTCTACAGAATTTGACGTTGGCTGCAAAAGGGACATAGCATCTTTAAGCAGTATATTGGACCTTGTAAAGCAAGAAACTAACATATAATTCACCAATGATAATGTAATCAGAGATTAGGGATATAAACCAATGTCTAAACATTGTATATTTTCTGATTTGAGATTTCCAGAATCTTCTATCAATGCCCTTCTATCAATGGTGCCGAACTTTGAAAGACGCTCTGCTGCCCCTGGTCAACTGTCTACTGGATTCAACTCCAGGTTCAGAATATTTTTGTCCCAAGGTAATAGAAAGTATTATACTATATTTTTAATTTTTCGCAATGAACATGATGATGAGACCAGGAACTTGATGCGTTAGATATTGTTATCGCCATGTACGGTTCCAATAAGTTTGTAGATTGCCCATCGAAAGAAAAATCGCAAACAATATCGCAATGGTTTCAAAAAAATATATTTATACTTTCATTTGAAAGTGACATACAGTTCATATAAAACGACTTTACATGGATTACTGATTATATATTTTTCATTATTTTGACAAAAATACTAACTGTAGGTTGATTCATTTTCGATATAGAAAACCAGTGAATATGGAAACATTGGTAAACAAAAATGTATCTCAGGTATCTTTCGAAAAATCACAAAGCAAGAAAAACTACATTTTGAGACATTGAAACACTCTAATTTTCGTTAATACGTAATTGTAAGGACCATCTTCGTAATTTGTTCTATTTTGACATGAATCTATATGTAGGTGCTAATTCCACATCATACTCACTTTCTCGCTATGTGTAATGTGCATACGATTCATTAGCATTTCGGGCAACCCTCTTGCGAGTTTTTCAGTTGTCAAGAGAAACTTTTGTTTAAAAAAGTATGCATAAAGTGTGTTAAAAATTCCATTGAAAAGCAATATCATTCGCACTCTATGACTAATGCTGAAACAATAATCTCCTGGGCTCTATTTTCATTAGACTTGTTATTAATTATAAGTGTCAACATGCTGTAACAATTTTGTTCAGAGCCAATTGATAATTGCAACGATTTCAGTAGTATATGCTTTTATCAGATACTCTAAATTGTCACTGATAATATTTTTTTTGTGAAAAGGGGACCCAATGGAAGCATGCTGTTTTTCCCATTCATATTATCTTATTCATGAAGTGCAACGGTGCCTATCAATTGTCATATTTTTTTTCTTCTTGCTTGCCATTCTTTTGCACTGTAAGTCTGCATAATGTGAGTCGTATTTGAAACTGTACATGCATGCCACCGAAGATGGTTTGAAGTTGGATGATATGCAACTCGGCACCATCTCGATTGCGTCTGAAGCACAAACTAGTATAAGATATTGATGAATTAATCTTCTTCCAACAAATGTTTTAAACTCGAAGGAGTTGCTACGTTGTCAACGTTCTTTTGGAATTCATTTTACAAAGATTAAAATAGCAGCTGTCGTCTAGCTTGGGTGAGTTTGTATTGTGTGT